CGGATCGCTTCCCGGGTCTGAATCCTAGTCTTCCAAGGGGAAATGATCTCTTGCCAGGACGGAAACCACTTCTTCCTAGTGCTATGCTTCTCTTGCCCATACGCTCTTCTGTATAGGATCTCTGAGTTTCTTCATCTACTTCGTCTTCAGGGTCGTAAGGAGGGATTTCGAAGTTGTTCTCATCGGGATACATCATGGAAGCGACCTCCCCATTTGAACGTCTCATGATGATATGTGACTGAAACGATTCTTTCAAATTTAATAAGTCTTCAAAATCGTGGCGGAGCTTACTGAAACTGCTTCTGGATCGTTGACAGATCGCTTCGCGAGTGCATAGTCGACATCTGACAGATCGTGTGCCGACACGGTGCAGACGGCTGCGATGGCGACGAAGCCGAGCAGCAGCATATCCGTCGTCTGAAATAGAGTTATCCGTAAAAGCAGGCTTTTATATGAGGTGTGGCAATACTGGGTGAGAGAACACTGGAAATGTGGTGGGTAGAATGTGCGATTTGTAGCCATTCAATGGTGATACAAATCGAGTCAAACCACTTTGTGACAATTTGTATAACGTCTTACAAGACCGAGCGCACTTTGTCACTAGCCTTTCGAAATGTCGTGAGGTGCTAACATGTTGAATGTGTAACGTATCCGAGGAAACATTATGAATGTGCCAAAAATCACGAAAAAACAAAAGTATAGACAAAGGCATAGGAGATTTATGAAGCTTTTTGGCTCAACAATGTCTCAGACACTTGAGCTACCCGTAATGTTAAAGACTTTCAAAGTACACAAATCCATAAGGCACTACAGGATAGCTCAGTAACGGTGGCATATAAATTCACCTTTCCTCAAGAAGCGTTATCTTGGTAACACGCAAATGTCGAAGTGATGTGGGAGTTCAAAAGAGCCCCTGTGAACTGTATTGTATTGATGGATTCAAATCCAGGAATGTTCGGGTAACAATTGTATTGTCACTGATGTAAAACGTTGTTTAAAGTGTTAGCAAGATGTTATCCAAAGAAAATGGAAAAGACAATGGAAAAAAGCCTTAAACGAAGGCACAATAATCTATGCGGGAAACCCCGTAAGGTTATTTAAAGATGCAGAGCAGGAAGAGCTATTGTTGTTCCAGTCTCCACGCACTTCCTAGTAGTCACCTATTGCAGATGGATCAGCCAGATTTGCGTTCTCTTGTAGAGTGAAACGCTCTAAAGAATGTAAGATCTCAATGGAAAAACCATGAGAGCATGAAAAACTATATATCGAGCAGCTGAGAAAGCATAAGAAAAACTGTGACTATGGTATTTTTTCTCTCATCAACAACTTATTTCTCATTAACAAGTGAAGAAAACGATTGAGAAACTTGAAAATTTGTTTAAATCTTGCCAGTAGTTTTTTTTAAGGCTAAGCACGAAGGCTTGCTCAAAGAAGAATTGGAGTTGATCCAGAAAGGTATGGAAACTGCAGTTAAGCTCTGTGATTGGTACAAAGAGCGCCTATCTTCTCTTGACAAGCGAAAACGCCTTTTAGGGCAAGGCATGGTGGCACTGGTGAGTTTCTCTGCATCGCAGTTTGCTTACATAATGCAATTATATTGATGACTGG